CTTCATTTGAGCTGTGCAACCTGGCCTTTCATCTCACAGGATATGTACTCATTTGTAGCAAAAATGCTTATTGCACATTGATCCAATTTTGGCTGCAAACCTGTGAACAGTTCTTGGCACAAGAGTTACTACAGAGTAACAAAGAATGGCCTATTGGCAATGTCTTAAAAGGCTCTTTGAGAAGTGAGGGAGGGAGAAGTTAGTAGTATCCACATGACATTAATCAGATGCTTCTCTTTCTAGGAATAAAGACAAGGTTTATGTCTACAAAGCAATTTCAATTTCTTAGAAAGCAATAATGTTTACATGTAAGGCACACAGTTTCTAATCAAAATGGGAAAGAGATAATAAAACCTTTAAAGAAAACATACATAATACTTTTATGCTGCATGTTTGGACTCCTCTTTTTATCTTTGTTCTTGAAAGAAATTTTATATGGTCACTGCATTATTCTATTGTGTCTATTTTCCCTTTGTTCTGAAATCTGTGTTGTTAAGAGTGATCTTTGCAATGTTGCACACTGAAAAGTCCATTTTCTGGAGTTTTACAGAATATCTAAACTACTGTTCAAGTGAGTAAGTGAATAAATTTTTTGCCTAGAGGGTTTCTCAATTAGCTTTTTTTTTTAAAAAAGATTTATTTATTTATACAAGCACTGGGTACAGTCAGAAGCGCAAGAGGGTGAGAGAATTCATCAGAGCCAGAGCGGGGAGCAGAGCAGGCAGAGGGACCGAGGTACACTGCTGGGGGGAGTGGCAGGCGGCAGGGGAGGTCTGCGCGCCATGTGGGACCCACCTCAGGTGGTCGGGAAGCGACTGGGGATCGAACTGGCGCTGCAGAGGCTGTGGGCAGCTTCGCAACCCAGCACTCAACCACTGCACCACCAGGGAGGCCCCTCTCAATTAGCATTTTTAAGGTCAAATTTCACTCACAAAATCCTAGAAGAGGGCTTTTGATGGCTGTGGCAGGTGATAACCTATGAGCTGCTTACTCTTTACCACTCCATAATCCATTCCTCTTGCTTTTCACCTGCAGACACCAAGCAAAATACCCCTATTCTCTTCTTCAGTTCTGTTTTATAGCAAAAGGCAAATTACAAAACCACCTGTAAGGGCAGGACTGGATACAGGGCAGGTTTTCTGATCCCATGCAGATCGGGTAAAGGAGGAGTCAGAGTCCTCAGTAGTTTTGCAGGTTTTTTATTTGGGGTTCACCAGGCATATGGCAGGCAGGGGTGCTGGGGGGCCGGGAGGCTGGCAGGCCTCCCAGCCCCCAGCAAATCCTCACTCTATCTGGGCTCTCTGGTGATCTCGGCTTCTCTTTCGACTTCTGCTTCGGCTTCTGGCTGCTGCTGCTGCTGGTGCTGCTAGCGTCCCCCCCGTGACGCCGCCCTTAAAAAGCACAGTCTTAGCTCAGCTGAATCCCATCTACCTATGCCCACACCCTATTCCAGGTGCCCGCCATCAGGCATGCATTCAGGACAAGGATCCATCATCTATCCTGATGGCGGAAGGGCAGAAAAGCCTGACATTTTCTTTACCCTACAGTCCACCCCCTCAGGGTTTTCTGCCATATAGTCTATACATATATATACAATTTTCTAAGCAAACAAACAATGCAGCCATGGCCCACAAAAGCAAATACATCAAATATAACAAAATACAATATAACAAAATACAACAGAACACAAATAAGTCCAGGCAGGGCACCAACCAAGTGCAAAAGACAATTAATTATTGGTACCAGCAGATGAGCCACCAAATCTGCTGCCGAAGGCACTGCTCATACGAGGGAGGGGAATCACTCACGGCATCTACTATATCACACCAGGAGCCGTCAGGCTTCCTGGCCTTCTCTGGCTGTAGTCTAGGCTACAAGGCACACACAGCATCCACCCCCAGGATGCACTAGCTCTGGGATTGGCAATTTTATTCTGTTGGGGGTAATCGCCAACCCTCAGGGTTTCTGTCTGCAGTCGCTCCAACACTCGGCCTTCACAGCCACCCATGCGACTCGCAGACCCCTGCACTCAGGCCAACCCACTGCACAAGCACATGGGTCGGGGATCAAAAATCTACATGTGGCTTGGGCTCCACCCCAAGCCACGTTCCCCACCCGTCCCCCAAGGACAGGTTCCTCAGCTCCTCACCCTCACTCAAGAATGAGCAGGGCATCACCCACAGGTGATTTTACGAGACTCACAGTTCTTCAGCATACCCAGGCTGCTTAACAGCCACTCAGGGCTTCTCAACTTATCATTAGTACCAGCTTTTGCCTTCTTAGTTGGCTTTTCTCCTCCACCTGGCTGCTGGGCATAACAGGCTGCTTTTGGCCATCTAGGCCCACTGGCCACCCCCAGATTCTCAAAAAATAAACATAACCTGCTAAGGTCCTCCGCCTTCTGGCGGGATTGTCAGTCCAAAATCATCAGTTCATCAGTCTATCAGTCCATTGGCCTCTCCCTGCTTCAGCAATGGCCTGCTGCCTCAGGGGTCATTGGCTGGTCCTTTCCGGTGTCGTTGGCTGGTCCTATCCGGTGTCGTTGGCTGGTCCTTTCTGGTGTCGTTGGCTGGTCCTTTCGGGCGTCTCCTTCACGCCAGGTCTCATCCTGTAGCTCGTGGACGTATCCATCTTCTATACCGCCATGGTGCCTCCAGCGTCGTCACAGGCAAAGTCTGTTCTCCTTAGTCCCTCCAGGTCTTCGGAGGGCTCCAATACCCGTCTGCATGGATCTTGCCGACATACGCCAATTGTAAGGGCAGGACTGGATACAGGGCAGGTTTTCTGATCCCATGCAGATCGGGTAAAGGAGGAGTCAGAGTCCTCAGTAGTTTTGCAGGTTTTTTATTTGGGGTTCACCAGGCATATGGCAGGCAGGGGTGCTGGGGGGCCGGGAGGCTGGCAGGCCTCCCAGCCCCCAGCAAATCCTCACTCTATCTGGGCTCTCTGGTGATCTCGGCTTCTCTTTCGACTTCTGCTTCGGCTTCTGGCTGCTGCTGCTGCTGGTGCTGCTAGCGTCCCCCCGTGACGCCGCCCTTAAAAGCACAGTCTTAGCTCAGCTGAATCCCATCTACCTATGCCCACACCCTATTCCAGGTGCCCGCCATCAGGCATGCATTCAGGACAAGGATCCATCATCTATCCTGATGGCGGAAGGGCAGAAAAGCCTGACATTTTCTTTACCCTACACCACCTCAAAATCAAAAAGTGTTTGGAAAAGGACACAAAAACCCAAATTCCTTCCATTATGGTAACTTCAATCTGAGCCCTTCCTTGAAACTTGAAGTTCTGTGTATTTGATAATGTTCAAAGAACACATGTTTCAAATACTTGGTTTAACTATAATTTACAGCCTAAATTAAACAACATATATTAGATATAACCTATGACAAACCACAAAATACTCCATTTTGCTTATTTTTTAAGCTTAGTTATGAAAATTCTCCCAAAATAGAAATCTCTAGTATTGCCTGTTCAGGTGAGCACATTCCTTGCCCTGCCCTGGTGGTGCTGAGCTTATCTGTGTGTTGCCAAGGATGCCACACAAACTGTGTTCTCTGGGAAATGAGGACTGGGTGTAGGGTAAGGTAAAAAGTATGAGGCTTTTCTGCCCTCCTGTCATTAGGATAGATGACGGAACCCTGTGGTCCCGAATGCATGCCTGATAGCGGGCACCTGGAGTAGGGTGTGGGCATATGTAGGTGGGATTCACCTGGGCTAAGACTGGGCTTTTAAGGATGGCGTCACGGGGACACCAGCAGGAGCAGAGAAGCTAGGAGCAGAGAAGCTGAGAGCAGAGAAGCTGAGAGCAGAGAAGCAGAGAGAACATCTGAGAGCCCAGAAAGAGTGAAGACTTGCTGGGGGCCAGGAGGCTGGCAGGCCTCCCTCCCAGCCCCCCAGCATCCCTGCCTGCCATGTGCCTGGAAAATCCCAATAAAAGCCTGAACAAACCACCGAGGTCTCCAGGACTCTCTCCTCCTTTACCCGGTCTGCATGGGATCATAGAAAACCTGCGCACTGGCCCATTCCTGCCCTTACACTGGGGAATACAATTCTTTTGATAAGCTCTTTCTTAAGAGACATTCCATAGTTTCCCTAAGCTTTCTCTTTCAAGTAAAGCCAAGTTACTGAGTGAAATTTATCCTTAGAATGAATAAAAATTTTGTGCCAGCAGATATTTTTTTAAAAAGTCCTTTTTATTTGGTTGCCAATTTTTTTCTTCAGTTTTTTAAGAGCTAGGGTACAGACCAGAGGTGGGGGTAGAGGGGGTGAGAGGATTCACCAGAGACAGCATGGGAGCAGAACAGGCAGATCTACTGAAATACAGTAGATAGGAGAGGGGAGCAACAGGTGGGATAGGAGAGGTCTGCTGCACCATGTGCCATGTGGGTTGCTTCTGGCCGGCCAGGGATCAAACTTGTGCTGCAGAGGCTAAGGATAGCTTCACAGTGCTGTCCTTATCCCCTTGCACCACTAGGAAGGCCCCACTGCCAATTTTTTAAGGCAAGGGTAAGTTAACCCTCTTTTCCGCCAATGCATATTTTGTGAGCCTTCTTGCCATGTGTGTATCTGCAAAGCCTCAAAGGCATTTTGGCATTTGAACAAAAAATTGCAAATTGTCCCTTTCATCCAACTGGAGAATTCTTTCATTTTCAAGGGAGTAACAGTTTAAAAAGTGGGATTTGCAGCAGCCCTTCTGCCTGCCTATGCCTATGCAGGTGTTTCTCTTCACCAGCCTTTTACTTTTGCAGAGCAGCAGCAGCAGCCTTCCTGCCCACCTGTGACCATGCAGGTGTTTCTCTTTGCTGACCTTCTCCCTTGGCAAAGCAGCAGCGGCAGCTCTCCTCCCAAGGCTGCCTGCGTGTGGTTATGCAAATCTCTCTTTTAGCAAACCTGTCCCTTTTAGGAGCAGCTCTTTCTGCCTGCTTGTATCTATGCAAGTGTCCTTTATTCTTATCTCCCTTTTTATTTATTTATTTTTGGATATGAAAAAAGTGGGATTTTCAGGGAAAGTGATAAAACAGATTAAAAGCTTGCTGTTCTGCCAGTCCTGGAATGTTCCACAACTTCTCAAAGAGCTACTCAGGCTGCTCCCTCCACCCCTCAGGCATCAGTCTTTCAGGATGCCATCATTATTCCTCAGTCTCTGCTTCCGCTTCTCTCACAGGGCAATGGAAGTGTCCTCCTTACACAGGTATGGTTTTGTGGGAGGTTGGGCATGGCAGAGTCTCATTTTGTGCTCTTGATTTGGGTGTTGATTTATCTGTGCTTTCATGCCCTAGCACAGAATTACTTTTCTTTCTTTATTTTGATGAGAATATCAGGAAGGATAGTTTCTTCTTAATTGCTTGTTACTGATTTTATTGTAACAACCATTCTGTCCATTTCCAACACTCCCCTGCCTCCCCAATAATATTCTATAAAGGACAAAGGCAACAGAGCTAATACCTAAATTACTTGTCATGACTTTGGATATGTAATATAGAGGGAACCTAGACAAGAACAGCATCTGCTAGAGTAAAAAATGCTTTCTTGCAAAAAAAATTAAAAGATTGTTACTGCTTATTTTAGTTAGCATTATGCTTTTGAAATATACTGAGTAATGCATGTTAATTAGATTAGCTAGTGCAGGCAAGCAGAAAGATAGAACATCTCCAAAAAAAATCTTTGGTTGAAATCTCAGAATAATGCTTTCAAGATGCTTTTTTCCTTACTTTTCTGAATTTTTCTCTTGCTTTTTGTATTTTATTCCAGGCTTTAGATGGTGTGCATGTATATGTGAGTGTGTTTGGTTGCACTCATTTAGTTTTAAGTGTGTTTTTACATATAGAATACTGTTTTTACTGACTGGTCCAAAATATATTTAATTCATATATTAAAGGGGAGAGTGGGTAGAGAGTGCTATCACTGAGAATATGCTAGAACAGGGCACTCTTTTTTGATGAGTGCCATTTATGGTGAGTCATTAGGTTGAAATCCATAGTCATGCTGAGAATTAGGAGAACATTGCAGGTGGAGTTGAGAACAGGTGAGAGGGCCTTCTTGTAAGAAGAGAGCTGGGTTTACTCTTGCATCTGTCTGAAAGAATCATAGGACTGAATCATGGAGGAAACTGGGATGACAAGATATAAGGTTGGCAGGGATCAGATCACCTAGAACAATCTGGGCTGAGCTTATTTTACTTGATGTATTGTGACTATCTTTCCATGTTCATTATTTTAAAGGCAATAGAGTGTGGTGTTAAGAGCTTGACTGTTGGAGTCAGATAAATCTGTTGTGTAAACTTAGTCAAGCTAATTAATGTTTCCAAGTCTTAATTTCCAAATCTTTAATATGGAGGTGCTTGTAGACACTACTTAATGAGATCATTGGGAGGAAAAGTCAGATAATATGTATAAAGCAATGAAGAGACTGGCACCACCTTTTATCAGTTTTATGGATGAATTTATTCAAGGTACATTGACAGAATAACCAAGGACTTTCGCAAGAAAGGTTATTTAGTAGAAGCTATAATGGAGCTTCAAATAACAAAGCAACAAAACCTGCAATTGTCTTCCTCACCACTTTGGAATAATGAGCCCATTGGCCAGTGTCCTCATGCAGAACCAAGTGCTATTACCGGCTTTTAAGGTATTAAGGGCAGAACCATGGCTGGCCTTTTCTGCAATCTCTCACCTAGCACTTAGTCAGCACTCTTGAGATAGAAGATGGTCAGTGAATCTCTATGGAATGTATAATAAACAAACAAGGCCACTCTGTTTCTCATCTTACCTTTTTTAGAAGGGAGACTACACTTTGACTCCAATGAAAACTATGAATATAGAAAAATTGAAGTGTGCGCTGTAACATTTTTACAATATACTGTGATTTTTTAAAAAGGAGGTTGAAATCTTGTGAGATCATATGATCCCATGAGAAATGTTGCATAGATCCAGAGTGGCTGTAGCACAGGTACCAGGTGGTACAACTATATAGACTGTGGAAGGTAGCATTGGTGGTAATTGTCACCTAACTATGTTGAAGGTCTCCTCTGTATAGGCATCAATTGTTATTGACATCTTAATGGTGATTTTCTCTGGTGTGTAAATTTATAGATACTCAAATCATCTTGTTTCTATTTCTGACAGAAGTAGGTATTACCTTTGTAGTGAAAAAAAAATTACAAAGTACTGAAGAAATAATGTCCTTTTACTCTTTTCATACAGCTATTCAGGCAATTTCACCATCATAGTCAGCATTACAACTCCAAATCCTTGCCCACATGTTCTTTTTGAATTTTTAAAATAAAATTTACAGGTCTTCCATATCTATTGAATTCTTGACACTTGTGGATTTCATTAGAGTATGTAGTTTGCTTTCAAAAGACTTGAATTTTGATTCTTGCCTTGGTTATTTACTAAGTAAAAATGCTTGGCTTCATAAAATTGGGAAACAGTGCCTCCCTTATGTAATTTATAGGTTGTCTGATGATTCACATTAGATATGAAGTACTTTTAAGCTAGCAACAGAAACACCAGCTGCTATTTTTGTTATGATTCATTATGGTAGTATCCTATGAAGGCCCTAGGCTTTAAGATCACTTGGGCAAATATTTTACACTGGGATAATTTGTAATTTATTAAAGTAGTTTCCTCTTTATTAATGGACTATTCTCTCTGGAAATTAGATATTAAAATTTATGATTTTTTTGTAGTAACATTGGTATATGAACTGTACTACTCCCTCATAAAAAGATCACTTTCATTTTTTACGCATTAATCAGACCGGCCGATCTTTGCTATCCTTTTCATAGACCGGCCCATTTTAGGTTAGATTGTATCGATGCTCAATACAGAATCACTTTCTCTGCTCATGACTGGTCAACTGACTTGGAGAAACTGGATTATGCACCATGACAAAACTGCAGAAAAATACAGATTTCTTTTAGTTGACCAAAAAGGAAATGAAATGGGTGTTTAGAAGTTAAAAATTTATTTAACTGTTCTTGAAATTCATGATTCAACCAACCTCTAGATACTTCTTCATTTCATCTGTCACCCAAAATAAACAACATCAAATATTGTTTGAGAAAAATCTTTAGTGCTCAGCTATCAACATTTTTTGAATCAGTGAGTAATGAGCTACTTGACACTGTTGAAAATGGAGTGTTGGTTTATCACATCAGTAAATGAGTCAGGAAAGACTACTGAGTTAGTTACCTGCTGGGATGCCCCTGTCCTAATGATAACTGGGTTTTTTCTAGTACCTCTGTGAGATTCCTGAGAGCCCCTCCGAGGAGAGCACATTATTCCTTCTACCTGCCCAGGGTACTGGAAAGATGTGTGGCAATTACTCTGACATTTGGACACCTGGGACATCAAAGGAGCTTTGAAATTTTAGAAATGCTTACTCCTCTTTTCACAGGACACCCCTTGTCTCTCCATTGAGGCTAGAGATTCCCTCTAGTTTAGTGTTGGCCAATAGCATTGTATTGTGAGCCACATACCTGAGCCGCATACCTGCTATATATATCCAAAATATAGCAACATGTAAAATCACTGGAATATTTGGCATTCTTTTTTGTGTACTAAGTATTCAAAACCTGGTTTGTAATCCTTAATAGCACATCTCAGTTTGGATTAGTCGCTTTCAATTATTAGTCACATATGGCTACTGGCTACCATATTGCACATTGCAGGTTTAGTTTATTGTTTACCAACCAGGCCTATAGTAGATGAAATAACCTTTTACCCTTACTTATGTTATTCAACATTCTAGGGGCTCTATCTAATATTAAAACTTAATTTTCACACTCCCACATCCTCATACCCACACACAATCCCAACCAAGTAGGCACTGTTATTATCTCTATGTAACTGATGATGAAATTGAAGTACAATGAAGTTAGGAAATAGGCCAGGGATCAGATGGATATTGAGGGGAAGAACTAAGACTTTGGCTCAGTTCTGTCCAGTTGTAAGGCTTATATTTCTAGACTACAGCGTTCCCTGGATGAGAGCATCCTGGCTCAAAATCTTAATGACTTGTCAAAGATTATAAACATATTTCTGGATTAATGGAGAACCTTGATTACATATTGTCTGATTTTAGTTGGGTTAAATTAAAATTAAATTATTAAGGGTGCTTAATTCATTTAACTTATTAAAAAACCAATTCCGATACTACTTTCTATAAAGAGTCTTACTTCAAGCCCCTCACTTGGAATTAATCTTTTCTTCCTCTGATCTCCCCAAACAATTCACACTTCTCATAGTGCATAATAACCTTCTCTTTTGATAATAATTATAGACGAGCCTTTTTCATCTGCCTTTTCACTCCAACCCATACATGCACCTTATCTAAAGTATTATCTCAGAATTTGTGTCAACTGGGTGGACTAAAGGTATAGATGCATGGAGAGGAGAATGAATGGACGAATGAATGAGTGAATGATAATATTCTTGCTATCTTCAAAATAAGATAAGTATTTTGTATAAATTATCTTCAGAGTAGGTTTTGGGTAAAACCTGAAATCAGAATCATGATAATATGAAATGTAACTGTTATAAGAAGATGCTTGTTTTTAGAACTCAAAAGTCAAGTATTTGAAATATTGATTCATATTATGCATGCAATGGTTTATTATCTACCACATAAGGCACTTTGTCTTTGATTTCATAGTTAGCTTCAGACTTGATTTTAGAAAACATCTTTTCCCCTGAACCCCCTTAAAGCTGTATCTTGGCAGGGAGGAGACTGAGAGCATTGAAGTAACTCTCAGAGGAAGGTGTTTCCATTATTTTTGACATCTAAATTCATATACTAAGGAAACAATGGAGGTGTAGTCTGAGTGGAACAGGAATCATTCCGTCATTCTCAAATGTACTTTGAACATCACATGGAATGTTTAGGAAGTGGCTGTGTAAACGTGCTGCCTCACCAAAGTAGATTTGTTTGTTCACATGCTATTTACTTGTGTATTTATTACCCCATCTTATTACAGAAAGGATTTTAAATGGCCCATGCATTTGTTGTGTTTGTAATTTTAGAGTTTCAAGGGTTAGTTTCCTAATAGGTTAAGTTAAAAAACTTCAGTCTTTTGACTCAGACATTAATTCAGTAATGGTTTTCCTCCTAGAATATGGACAGAATAAAATGCAAGCATAAATTCTTGACACTATTTGGGATTCCTAGGTAAAGCACTTAATCATCTAC